TGATGGGGAGCTAGAAATACTGTGCCTTGTGGAACAGAGCTTTTTCACCGTAGCTGCCTCGGACTATACTCTGTTGACGACTACTCCTGTGTTCTGTTGTGAGGAAATTATAGATCCAGCGACCGACTTTTTTCTGTTATTCTTTAGCGCGCATCTTTGTGCGCTATTACGCCCATGTTCAATAGTCCGCACAGGTTTTGCAAAGTTGCTATATATTACATCTGCCATTCTTTTTGTTTCTAGTGCATTTAGGACCTTGTCGTAGTGATCCAGTAGTTGAGACAGACAAGGAGCGACCTGTTCTAAACGACATGTTTGCCCTGGGTGTGTACACTGATGGGTTCTCTTGATGGGTGGTGATCTTGCTTCTTAGGGAAACCTTTCAAAGATTTTTATGGTATGGGATGTAGTGCTATTGGTCTGTAGTTCTTTCGCTGTGTTGCTTTACTGCCCCCATTGTTGAGTGGGGCTATGTCTGTTGGTTTTCAGTAACTGAGGGACGACCCCCGTGTCCATGTCCTCTCCAATAGGTGGAAAAGGCTCGTGATAGGGGCTTCTTGCAGTTCTTGATGACACCAGAGTTCCATGAGTCTGGCCTGGGGCAGAGTGATTGGGCATGTCTTTAGCTGTTTCGAAGTCATTCTGGCGTCAGGCATAAAATCGGAGACTAGGCTGTGTTTAATCAAATTTTGTGGCTCTCTCATAAAAAAATCATTTTTGACTTCGACTCTCAGGTCTGGTTAGCGGCCTCTTGCTTAAAAACTAGTCCATATTGGGACTTGAGTAGCTCACTCATTGCTTGATTGTTCATTGTGTAGGACCCATCTTGTATAAGTAGGGGCCCAATTACTGGCGTGTTCTCGATTTGGACTCTTGGCATAGGAGAGAAATACTTGGGGTTTCTTGTCGTTTCATTTATGGCTTTTAGTTCTTCCGCGATTCCTGACTCCTAAAGTATTTTTTAGCTAAATGTTCGATGCTTGCTATTTCTCTGCCAGTGGTCTCCATGCGCTTCAGATATATTGGAACTCTTTTAGCCGCTCTGTTATTCTTTTCCGCTCGCCTGTAAGGGCAGGCGACTGTCTCTTTCTATTTTAAATCTACTCCTCCTTTTTCTTGAGGAATAAGCCTTGTGATTACATCGATGCCACGAGTTAATCTGTTCTAGGCATAAGTTTGGGTCTGTGTTGCTTAGTATACTTCCAGCTTATATCGGTTAGGACTTGGTTTACTGGTTCCCACTTTATGTTTTTGTTTGAAGTGAATTTTGGTGAATGCTCCCTCGTGACTAGTTCATTTTTGTCGGTCTGGGGTCTCCTACCCGCATACATGTCTGATCCTCAATTATGTTGTGATCTGATGTATACTTGTTTTTGAATGGTGGACATTTTTCTCCTTCTCAGATCATCATTGTTATTGAGATGAGGTCTAGTGTATTCTCAGTCTAGTAGGCTCTATTATTGCTGGTTTAAATTGAATTTTTGTGACAGAGATTTGAAAGCTCGTGTAAGTGTGAGTTTCATCAGAGCTTGCCTCCCTGGGTTATTACTGCGCAACAATATTTTTTTGCTATATTCCTCCATTTTAGGTGGCTTAAGTTGAAATCACCCCAGGAGCAAGTTGTTTGGGTTGCAGGTGCTGGAAGATTTTTCCAGACAGTGGTCAATTTTTACAGATGTCCTGGAATTGCGGGGATGTTGCATCCGGATGCTTGTTGACTACCTCAATGACTAGTTTTGGTTCTCGACCTTTACTGCTCTAAAACTTCCACTACGTCATTTGAGAGCAATTATGCACAGCTTCTGTGCAAACAAGTGACTCTGCAATGTACAGGCCAAACCTCCCCCTTTTGCCTGTTCACTCTGTCACATCTGTATGGTTGTAACCTGGGATCCATATTTCGTTGTCCAAGTGATCCTTTTATGTGGGTCTCAGTGAACGCGCGTAACATTGCCTTTGCCTCTGCAAGCAGTCCACGGATGAAAGGTATTTTGTTGTTTGTTGCTGGCTTTAGACCTGTATATTTGCAAAGAAGAATGTTATCGGACTGGTGGTATTGTTGGTACTGGGTACCAACAATTGTTGGTACTGTGGAAGACTCAGACATTTACAAAGGCAATAATTGTCGTTCCCATTCTGGCTCTGGCTGGGTTTTTACACTGGAATTAGGCACGCATTTAAAGGAAATGGTTAATTTCAGATATTGGGGAAGGGAAGATGCAGACACACTGCTTTCCAGAGTATCACAAGGTTCGTCAACAATTACCTTGGCTGGTCTGATTCCTGAATCGAAATTAGGACCTTTCTTTTTGGTGCACCACTTTGTGCACTTAAAAAGAAGGATGGAGGAATTCGGCCAATGCAGTATGCAACACGTACGGACGCCTTCGTATCAAAGCTGCTGTACGATGTATTCGTGCACAGGCAGCCCATGATGCTTCAACCAACAGCTTGGCTTTGGGGTCTCTCAAGGAAAGTTGAAGCAGCGGTTCATGCAACAAAGGGGCTTATATCAACAACCTGCCTGAGGACAAATGCAGTGATTAAAATTAGATTTCAAGAATGCGTTCATTCTCCAAGGCACGCGGGACGTGGTATTAGCAGCAGTACAAGAAATATTTCCTGGTCTCTTCCCTTTGATTCAGCTGGGTTAGCAAGGAATCAAGGCTTCTCTTTGGAGAGCATGAAATAACATCATCGGAGGGTGTCCAACAGGAGATCTCTTGTCACCATTTCTCTTCTGTATAGCAGTTAGGGAATCACAGTCAGACTGACCAGCGAGTTAAACATACTGGTTTCTAGATGATGGCACACTAGCAGGTACAAGGTGTCCCCTCCTACTTGACCTTACACAGGTAATGCACGGGGACAGGGAAATGGGTCTCGTCCTGAATCCTCCAAATGTGAAATCATCTCTGTAGTTCAACAAAGTGTAAATGCTGTGAGATCAAAACTACAGGAGCAGCAGTCATTGCCCCCACAATAGTGTCTTGTAGGAGTCACTCTGGGGAAGCAATGCCATTTGACACAAATTCTCAGAGAAATCTGGAAGAGTTAAGGAGAATGGAACAACAAATAGGCCAATTGGACACCACGATGCCATTGTACCTTCTCACAAAGTGCTTGAGTCTGCCATGGTTGACATATTTCCTAAGATGTGCTCCTTCATATGATAAACCCTATACTGACACGAATTATGGACCAGTTATTCTGAGTGGCAGATTTTTTTACGAATCAGTACTTAACTTACTTTAGATGACGGGCAGTGGAACCAAGCTACACTTCCAGTCAGGACTAGGAGGCATTGGTGTTCCGCAAGTCATCACAGATTGCGTTGACTGGCTTTTCTGTCCTCGTGTATTGCATCCAGAGAGCTTGTAGCAGCGATTCTCCCTGAACATCTTAGGGACAAGAATTGGTGTCCAGGACCAAAATTCATTGACGGAGCAATGATCTGGGATAATCTAACGGGCTCAGAAACTCCAGAATGCTCCCCCCAACAACTTACAAACCAATGCACTGGGATGGTCAATAAGTGGAAAATATGCCTCAACAATGCTTCTGAGTGTGTCAGGGAAGGATAGTGCCCGCCTGCTGGCAGTGAGAGCCCCTCATGCTGGGGACTTTCTGTTGGCTGTTCCCAACTCCAGCCTTGGCACATGCCTCGACCCACAGACTATCCGCAACGGTGTTGCCCTTCGACTTGCCGCCCCTATTCTCGCCGAACACAGGTGTATTTGTGGCAGTGAAGCAGCAGACCGATTCGGGTACCATGGTCTTGTGTGCCGTAAATCCAAGGGAAAGATTGCAAGACATGAGGAGGTTAATAACATTATCAAGAGGAGCCTCACAACAGCTGGATGCCCAGCAGTAAGGGAGCCACCCCAACTATGCAGATCTGATGGCAGCCAGAAGCGTCCAGATGGTATCACCCTTCAAGCCTGGACAGATGGGAAGCAGGTGGTGTGGGACTATACATGTGCATCTACCTTGGCTGATACCTATCTCCAATACACCAGGGAGGAAGGAGGGGCAGCTGCCAGCTTCAGGGAGTCCCAAAAGTCTAGAAAATATGGAGAACTTGCCTATCATTATATGTTTGTTCCCATAGGCTCAGAGACCCTTGGCTCATGGGGGGAAAGAGTGCATCTAAATTCCTTAAGGAGCTGGGAAAAAGACTCATCAGGGTAACTAGGGATACCAGGGCAGCTAGTTTTCTGTTCCAAGCGGCTCAGTGCGGCTGTTCAAGGGGTAATGCCTGCTGTATTTTGGGCACAACGCGCCCAGCTCTGAGGAGCTGGATGAGATTTTCGGCCTTATAGTCGGTGATACACACGTAACAACATGTACCTTATATGCCACCTTTATATATATAATAATATTTATAATATATATATATATATATAATATATATATATATATATATAGTATATAATTATATATATATATATTTATATCACAACACATTATACATACGTACATAAGTGAGGATAGGAAAACGAGCTGAATATTGCATATATTTCTGTCAGAGGTTTTCCTTAGATTGAAAGGTGTAAATGTGTAGTAACTTATTGTCTATTTATTCATGGAACATTCTAGTTCACGATAGAATAAATCATTGACAATTAAGACCTCCATAGTTTGTAAGGGAGACGAAAACGCGACTCGACTGACTATAAACTTTTGTATATTTAGCTTAAAGACTAATTTTTTAAAAAATACATATTGAATTTTGACTTTAACTCATATCATGCCTAAGATATATTTTAATGAGAAAGAAATATATGTGTGTAGCACATTATATATACTCTTTTTAGATATTTAAAAGGGTATTATTTTTCCTAAAAGTATTCAGCATCATCATATATGTTGGGAAAGCTGCTGCGACCAGGGACGACCAATCACAGTGAGCCAACTCTGTTCTCACAGACCACTACCTACTACCTTATTGGCTGACAGGCCCGCGTGGTCTGCCCTGATTGGTTACTGTACAGTAGCCCCGCCCACCTGGCTGGAGGTAGATCATACCATCGCTTATACTAACACAACTCCAGCAGTCAGTCGTGTACAAGACTCTGTGGTGGTGGTGTCTGTGTAGTGCCATCATGTTACCCTTAACATACCGGTATATTTTCCTTCTTGTGGTTCTGCTCTTTACAGGTGAGAAAGTTTCTTATTTTGTTATTATTGGGCGGAAAATTACTTTGACTCCATGGGCAGTTTTCTCTGAATAAGAGGCATTGTGAGGCAGAAAATAAGCACCACGGACAAAATCCTTGTGAGAGCTAAATGCATTCTGTAATTTGTTAATTGTAATGTGTAGATATCTTTCTGCATCAGTAAATTAGGCTCTTAATATTCTCATGACTTTAAGCACCAGTCTCCTGTATTATTTTTCCGGTTCACTGTGCTTGTAAACCACCATAATGTACAGAAGTGTTGTAGGGTCCCTGCTGCTTGTAGGGTCCCTGCTGCTTGTAGGGTCCCTGCTGCTTGTAGGGACCCTGCTGCTTGTAGGGACCCTGCTGCTTGTAGGGTCCCTGCTGCTTGTATGGGTCCCTGCTGCTTGTAGGGTACCCTGCTGCTTGTAGGGTCCCTGCTGCTTGTAGGGTCCCTGCTGCTTGTAGGGTCCCTGCTGCTTGTAGGGTCCCTGCTGCTTGTAGGGTCCCTGCTGCTTGTAGGGTCCCTGCTGCTTGTTAGGGTCCATGCTGCTCTACAGGGTCCCGGCTGTCTTGCAGGGTCCCTGCTGCTTGCAGGGTTCCCTGCTGCTTGTTAGGGTCCCCGCTGCTGCTGTAGGGTCCCGATGCGCTTGTAGGGTCCCTGCTGCTTGTATGGTCCCTGCTGCTTGTAGAGGTCACCTGTGCTTGTAGGGTCCCTGCTGCTTTGTAGGGTCCTTGCTGCTTGTAGGGACCCTGCTGCTTGTAGGGTCCTGCTGCTGTAGGGTTACCACTGCTGCTTGCAGGGTCCCTGTACTTGCTATTAGGGATCCATCTGTGCATTAATGGAGACCCTGTCTTGCTTGATAGGGTCCCTGCTGCTTGTAGGGTCCCTGCTGCTTGTAGGGACCATGTGCTTGTAGGGTCATGCTCTGAGGGCCTGATTGCTTGTAGGGACCATGTGCTTGTTAAGGGACCTTCTGCTTGGTATGGTTCCCTGCTGCTATGTAGGGTCCCGCTGCTGTAGGGTCCTGCCGCTTGTAGGGAACCTGCTGCTTGTAAGGGTCCCTGCTGCTTGTGGGTCCCCTGCTGCTGTAGGGTCCCTGCTGCTTGTAGGGCCCTGTGCTTGCAGGGTCCCTGCTGCTTGTAGGGTCCCTGCTGCTTGTAGGGTCCTGTGCTTGTAGGGACCTGCTGCTTGTAGGACCTGCTGCTTGCAGGGTCCCTGCTGCTTGTAGGGACCTGCTGCTTGCAGGGTCCCTGCTGCTTGTAGGGTCCCTGCTGCTTTGCAGGGTCCCTGCTGCTGCAGGGTCCCTGCTGCTTGTAGGGTCCCTGCTGCTTGTAGGGCCCATTGTCTGCTTGTAGGGTCCCTGCTGCTTGTAGGGACCCTGCTGCTTGTAGGGTCCCTGCTGTTGTAGGGACCCTGCTGCTTGTAGGGTCCCATGCTGCTTGTAGGGACCCTGCTGCTTGTAGGGACCCTGCTGCTTGTAGGGTCCCTGCTGCTTGTAGGGTCCCTGCTGCTTGTAGGGACCCTGCTGCTTGTAGGGTCCCTGCTGCTTGTAGGGACCCTGCTGCTTGTAGGGTCTCCTGGCTAGTGCTTGTAGGGTCCCTGCTGCTTGTAGGGACCCTGCTGCGTTGTAGGGTCCCTGCTGCTTGTAGGGACCCTGCTGCTTGTAGGGTCCCTGCTGCTTGTAGGGTCCCTGCTGCTTGTAGGGTCCCTGCTGCTTGTAGGGACCCTGCTGCTTGCAGGGTCCCTGCTGCTTGTAGGGTCCCTGCTGCTTGTAGGGTCCCTGCTGCTTGTAGGGACCCTGCTGCTTGTAGGGACCCTGCTGCTTGCAGGGTCCCTGCTGCTTGCAGGGACCCTGCTGCTTGTAGGGTCCCTGCTGCTTGCAGGGTCCCTGCTGCTTGCAGGGTCCCTGCTGCTTGTAGGGTCCCTGCTGCTTGTAGGGATCCCTGCTGCTTGTAGGGACCCTGCTGCTTGTAGGGTCCCTGCTGCTTGTAGGGACCCTGCTGCTTGTAGGACCCTGCTCCCTTGTAGGGTCCCTGCTGCTTGTAGGGTCCCTGCTGCTTGTAGGGACCCTGCTGCTTGTAGGGTCCCTGCTGCTTGTAGGGTCCCTGCTGCTTGCAGGGACCCTGCTGCTTGCAGGGTCCCTGCTGCTTGCAGGGTCCCTGCTGCTTGCAGGGTCCTGCTGCTTGCAGGGTCCCTGCTGCTTGCAGGGTCCCTGCTGCTTGCAGGGTCCCTGCTGCTTGCAGGGTCCCTGCTGCTTGCAGGGTCCCTGCTGCTTGCAGGGTCCCTGCTGCTTGCAGGGTCCCTGCTGCTTGCAGGGTCCCTGCTGCTTGCAGGGTCCCTGCTGCTTGCAGGGTCCCTGCTGCTTGCAGGGTCCCTGCTGCTTGCAGGGTCCCTGCTGCTTGCAGGGACCCTGCTGCTTGTAGGGACCCTGCTGCTTGTAGGGACCCTGCTGCTTGCAGGGTCCCTGCTGCTTGTAGGGTCCCTGCTGCTTGCAGGGACCCTGCTGCTTGTAGGGTCCCTGCTGCTTGCAGGGTCCCTGCTGCTTGTAGGGTCCCTGCTGCTTGCAGGGACCCTGCTGCTTGCAGGGACCCTGCTGCTTGCCGGGGGGAAGGAAAAACTGAGGGAGAAGCAATAATGTGAGTGAGGGTTCCTGGTAGTTAGTGTTTCCATTAACTCCTGAGGTGGTGGATATCATCATCAAAACATTCTAGATGACTGTTACTTCAGCTACCTTGAAAAAATGACCATAACCGCTATAAAATGTTAAAGCAGTGTTGAGGTGAGCAGAGGTACTACCATCACCTACCACACCAATGGTAGTCACTTATTTATCCCAGGTACTGCACACCTGTGCTGCTGATGTGTATGATAATCTTTGTAACTGTACCTGAATAAACTGTTAAAATGAACCATTGCACTGTACAGGGGTAAACATTGCTTACCTGGAGTTTACCTGCACAGGGTTTTGGGGGTCAATGCCCCCATGGCCCGGTCTGAGACCAGGCCTCGTGGTACATCAGGGTCTAATCAACCAAGCTGTTACTGCTGGCCACATGCAAACTGACATATAAACCACAGCCCAAGTGGTAAAGTACTGAATTCAGGGGCCTGTCGAGTGCCTTCTTGAAGACAGCCAGGGGTGTATTGGTAACCCCCATTATGTATGCTGGGAGGCAGTTGAACAGTCTTGGGGCCCCCGGACACTTGTTCTGTGTACTCGTGGCACCTCTGTTTTTCATCAGGGGAATTGAAGCAATGCATGCGTGTAACTCCTGTACATGTATTAAAAAGAAATAACGGACACTAATTCTGATCGTGGGTGGCACTTGCCAGCCAACAAGACACCTGAAGACAGTCCGGAAAATACATAAATCCAGAAGGCAGTTTACCAGAAGGCAATTACTCCTCATAATCCCAAAGTCCCATAAAGCCATGGACAGTTTTTGTAAAATGGCCCAGCTCAAAATTAATATCTTAAAGATTGAAAGTTAATTTCAGTACCATCACTGCATAGCTCTTATTCCAAGGTAGCTGTTGTACCTGTTAAATGCTGTGCATACTTCCTAACACGTATTTGTTCACCTAGCAGTAAGCAGGTACCAAAGTGTTACTTATTTGGGTCACATCCTGAGAAGATAGTCCCTTAATGTTTTTTTATCCTGGGCGTCTAACGCTCTGGGTTAAAATTGTCTAATCTCGCCTAACTGTCTCCTTTTCTATAATGTTAAATTGTTACCCCCCCCCTTTCCCCATTAACTTTGCATCCCATTTAGTTTGAATAAAATAGCTTTAGATGCAATATAGTAGAATGTTGAACAGCTGTCAGTGTACATGCAAGTTGTCTAACCATTAATGTAGTTATTGGGTAACTTTAAAGTTGATTTATACTTCCAGGGTATGCAAGAGGCGATGATACTGTGGAGCAAGATCTGGGTGCTAGCATGGAGGGTTCACGCACCGATGACAATGTAGTGGCCAGAGAAGAGGAAGCTATAAAGTTAGATGGTCTTAATGTGGCACAAGTCAGTACAATTTGTTCCAGTTAACATTAAATTGGATTAGTAAAGAATTTTTAAACTCCAATAGGAATGTAAACTTTCCTATCTGGTTTGGTATTTGTATCAGATAATGTAAATGTTGTAAAAGAGTGTTGTGTATTTACATCAGTTTTTACAAAATTGGCACCTGCTAGTGCATGTAGGAAGCTCTTGACTATGCCAAGCATTTCAGGCAAAATAAATGTAGGTAAAATCTTTTAGTATATACTTGTAAATGTTCAATTTAAGCTGTATGAATTTATATACATATAACTGTCTTCAGTGACTTATCCTGAGCTCATGGCACCTTTGTGCTGTCAGTTTAATCTATTTCTTTTGATAATGTGGATTCTTAACTTTCAGGAAAGTTGAATGCTAAATTATTCGTACTAACCTAAGCTCTTGCTAGAGCTTTTAAGTGCTCTAGACACTTGTAAAATAAATTGGAATTTAATTTTCTGTATTGTAATTTTTTAAATTATTTAAACCTTCTGACTCTAGCCCTACCTCCTTTGGTTAACACTAATTTTGTTCACCTTGTCTTTAAGCATTAAGGGCATTTTGATTAAAATCTAATTTTTAATGTACAAATTAAAATAGTTGGTTAACCATTTAGCCGAGAGCCTCCATTACTTATCCTAACCCTTTCAGGGTTTCGGACGTACTAATACGCCTTGCGCACCAGGGTTTTTGACATACTAGTATGCCTAAGTTCTAGCGCCCTCGAATCTAATGAAAGCTGGTAGGCCTACATATAAAAGTGGGTCTGGTCAGTGTGCAGTATAAAAATCCTGCAGCACAGTGCATAATGAAAAAAAACTCGCAGTTTTTTTATTAAAACTGCGACTTTGCAATGTATTTTAGTGTGGCATTTATTGTTGAATTCTAGGTTTCCTGGTCTCATTTTATAGAATGGAAGATGTATTACAGAAATTGAGATGATTTTGACCGGTTTTGTGATGAGAAGTGCCTTGAAATTGAGCTCAAAGTAGCAGGAATGTTCGATTTCTACCAGAGTTCAAAAGTAAACAAATCATGCTAAGCATACAATACACGTCAACTGAGTCGAATATTCTTTCACAAGTGCGCCAGTATTTATACCATTTCTACACTAATGCAGTAGTCTGCGTAACAGTAGATCTTGAATTTTTTGAGAAAAATTCAAAGTGGACAGCAAAAGAATGGGGGGGGGGGGGGGCCTGGGGATGTGACTAATGAACAGGAAATTTTATTTTAGTGCCAGGAATGTTTCTTGTTTATTCTGGACCCATTGGAAATTGGCATCTTTTGAAATGTGTGAAATTGGCAAAATTGCTAAATTCTGACCACTGTAATGGATAGTTGAAATCGGTAAATGGGTGGTTTCTTGTACTCGTTCGATAGGAAAATGGAGTTATAGCAAAATGATTTTTGCCGACTAGTACACTGGAATTGGCCGAAAATAGGGCTCGGTGGGCAAAATCGCCAATGTATGAACATCGTCGAGACCGCTAGCTTCGCGAGAGCATAATTCCATAAGTTTTCCATCCAATTTCATACTTTTGGTGTCATTATGATCGGGAAAAGATTTTATTTTTTTTTTTTTTTTTTAAATTTGGGTGACCCTGAGAACAAGTCTGAGAGAAGGGGCCTGGGGGACCCTGAAAGGGTTAGCCCCTTGACTGTCACAACCCCAAATCCTGAGGTCTCCTGGTGTCTAAAAATTTTTGAAAAATTTTTCTTAGTGCTAATCTTTCCCTGATGGTAATGACACCAAAAGAACGAAATTTGATGAAACTTTCGGAATTACGCTCTTGCGATAGTTAGCGACCTCGGCGATATTTATGAATCGACTAGTTTACCCACTTTGAGCCCTATTTTCGGCTAATTCCATTGTTCCAGTAGACAAAACTCGTAGGTTTCTTTAGAACTCCATTTGTTCTATAGATTGAATATAAGTGCCCATTTACCAATTTCAACTGGTCAGCAATTTGCAATTTGGCCAACTTCACACAAATTAAAGTGCCAATTTCAAAATAGGGTCCAGAATGAACAATGCAGACATTCCTGGCTCTAAAATAACTCTTCGTTCATCAGTCACATCTCTAGGCCCCTCTGATATTAGTTTAGTTTTTATTAAAGCAAAATATTTACTGCAATATTGTAATTACATAAATGTCAACCCATTCATGGCTGCATATTAGAATGGCTAGTTGGACATTTATTTGACTATCTTTTATTTTACTTTTGAACATCGGTAAAAATCAAAATTTCCATACTTTGAGCTCTATTTCAATGTTCTTTTCATAGTAAAACCAATCAGTCACCTCTATTTGTTTCTCATTCTGTCAAATGAGACGAAGAGGATAAATGTGAATACTATACAAAAATACACTGCAAAGTCTGCATTTTAATCCAAAAAGTAGTTTTTTTCCTCATGCACTGCGTGCTGCAGGATTTTGTGGTGCACACGGACCACAGACCCATTCTCACATGTGGGCCTACCAGCTTTCTTCTGCTTGATTTGAAACCGCTAGAATTTTTGAGTAGTCAGTGGCTCGTGAGACATACATAGGACAAAGTCAAAGGGTTAATACACAACTCTGAATGGTGTATTCAGTGCTACATGGACTAGTCTGCAAATAAGGGTATATAGTTTTACATAAACCAATTATAGTATCTGATTCATTAGTATCTTTACATTAGAAGTTTCTCATAAGCAGTTTTTCATGTTTGTGATTACATTAAGCTCATGAATTCTTTAAAGCAGTCTAGTTTAGTTTGACAATGTAGTGAGTAAAAGTTTATGGATGAAATTAAAACCATAACAATCTGTTGGAGTGTGAGCAGGGTAATATTTAGTGAAAGGATTCAGGGAAACTGGTTTTTTTTATATAGCTGGACTTGAGTCCTGGAAATGGGAAGTACAATGCCTGCACTCTAAAGGAGGGGTTTGGGATATTGGCAGTTTGGAGGGATATGTTGTGTATCTTATACGTACGTATAAGATACACAACCTCTGCAAAAAGTGATTGTGTGAGGTGAAAGTGTTTAAAGTATTTTCTTTTTTGGGGAGTTTTTCTTTTTGGGTCACCCCGTCTCGGTGGGAGACGGCAGCCTTGTTGGAAAAAAAGACTTAGTTCTTGCAACAATGTAATTCTTGGTTGTAGAGTAATTTGGCAGTTAGTAGGGACCACAAAATTTAAGTTTTCTACATAAATTTTTAACTAAAGCATTTTTTTCTGCTTCAGATCAAGGAAATGAGAGAGAAGGCAGAAAAGCATGCATTTCAGGCAGAAGTGAACCGCATGATGAAGTTGATCATAAATTCTCTGTACAGGAATAAAGAGGTTAGTGTATTCTAACTTTTCCAAATTTATAATTTTTGCTGTTCTGTAATTTTTACTTACTGGTACAGTGGAATGTATACTTTAATATTCTATGACCTTGCTTGCATCTGGATTTGCTAGTGTGCAGTCAATTTTCCTCGTTTAAATTAACTGAAATGGAATTTGTTCCAGTGGAATTCCAGGCACAAAATACTTCAATAATTTCCCTAATGTCAACTCTCTGGCTTATTTATTAAAATTCATCTGAAGACAAAAAAATAGCAAACGTGATTCACTAGAATGAATGTCATCATGTATGTGGCTAGTGGTGATGACAGCAGCCATTGAGGTTTACAGCATTCCTGCTCCTGACTACATGAAGAGCACCTAGGATAGCCTCAAAGTCAGTGACTTATAATTGCTACTCTTAATGCTACTGTCACCGACTCCTGATTTAGTATTGTACATATTGAAGTGGTATGCTGGTACTGCCTGGCAAAGTCCTTAACCCTCCAGCTTATTTGATTTCCTGTTTTAATTCCATGGAAATCATACTTATCAGCACTCCCTTGTACTTGCTTTCTTAGGACCCATTGTTAGAAAAAAATTGACACCACCAGTAAAGGTCGAGAACCAAAACCTAGTCATTGTGGTAGTCTACAAGCCTCCGGATGCAACATCCCAGCAATTCCAGGAACAGCTGTTAAAAATTGACCACTGTCTGGAAAATCTTCCAGCTCCTGCACCCAACATCTTGCTCCTGGGGGATTTCAACTTAAGGCACCTAAAATGGAGGAATATAGCAAATAATATTGTTGCAGTAATAACACCAGGAGGCAGCTCTGATGAACTCACACTCACACGAGCTTTTAAATCTCTGCACAAAATTCAATTTAAACCGGCAAATAATAGCCTACTAGACTGGAGAATACACTAGACCTCATATTCACTAACAATGATGATCTGATAAGAAATGTCACCATATCAAAAACAATATACTCAGATCACAACATAATTGAGGTTCAGACATGTATGCGAGGAGCCCCAGACCGACAAAATGAGACTAGTCATGAGGGAGCATTCACCAAATTCAACTTCAATAACAAAAACATAAAGTGGGACCAAGTAAACCAAGTCCTAACCGATATAAGCTGGGAAGATATACTAAGCAACACAGACCCAAACTTATGCCTAGAACAGATTAACTCGGTGGCACTCGATGTATGCACAAGGCTTATTCCTCTAAGAAAAATGAGAGTAGATGTAAAATAGAAAGACAGGCGCTCCCTTTACAGGCGACGGAAAAGAATAACAGAGCGGCTAAAAGAGGTCAATATATCTGAAATGCGCAGGGAGACACTGGTCAGAAATAGCAAGCATCGAACTTGAGCTAAAAGAATCCTTTAGGAGTCAGGAATCGCGGGAAGAACTAAAAGCTATAAATGAAATCGAAAGAAACCCAAAGTATTTCTTCTCCTATGCCAAATCAAAATCGAGAACAATGCCCAGTATTGGGCCCCTACTTAAACAAGATGGGTCCTACACAGATGACAGCAAGGAAATGAGTGAGCTACTCAAGTCCCAATATGACTCAGTTTTTAGCAAGCCGCTAACCAGACTGAGAGTCGAAGATCAAAATGAATTTTTTATGAGAGCCACAAAATTTGATTAACACAAGCCTATCCGATGTTATCCTGACGCCAAATGACTTCGAACAGGCGATAAATGACATGCCCATGCACTCTGCCCCAGGGCCAGACTCATGGAACTCTGTGTTCATCAAGAACTGCAAGAAGCCCCTATCACGAGCCTTTTCCATCCTATGGAGAGGGAGCATGGACACGGGGGTCGTCCCTCAGTTACTAAAAACAACAGACATAGCCCCACTCCACAAAGGGGGCAGTAAAGCAACAGCAAAGAACTACAGACCAATAGCACTAACATCCCATATCATAAAAATCTTTGAAAGGGTCCTAAGCAAGATCACCACCCATCTAGAAACCCATCAGTTACACAACCCAGGGCAACATGGGTTTAGAACAGGTCGCTCCTGTCTGTCTCAGCTACTGGATCACTACGACAAGGTCCTAAATGCACTAGAAGACAAAGAATGCAGATGTAATATTTACAGACTTTGCAAAAGCCTTTGACAAGTGTGACCATGGCGTAATAGCGCACAAAATGCGCGCTAAAGGAATAACAGGAAAAGTCGGTCGATGGATCTATAATTTCCTCACTAACAGAACACAGAGTAGTCGTCAACAGAGTAAAGTCCGAGGCAGCTACGGTGAAAAGCTCTGTTCCACAAGGCACAGTACTAGCTCCCATCTTGTTCCTCATCCTCATATCCGACATAGACAAGGATGTCAGCCACAGCACCGTGTCTTCCTTTGCAGATGACACCCGAATCTGCACGAGTGTCTTCCATTGCAGACACTGCAAGGCTCCAGGCGGACATCAACCAAATCTTTCAGTGGGCTGCAGAAAACAATATGAAGTTCAACGATGAGAAATTTCAATTACTCAGATATGGTAAACATGAGGAAATTAAATCTTCATCAGAGTACAAAACAAATTCTGGCCACGAAATAGAGCGAAACACCAACGTCAAAGACCTGGGAGTGATTATGTCGGAGGATCTCATCTTCAAGGACCATAACATTGTATCAATTGCATCTGCTAGAAAAATGACAGGATGGATAATGAGAACCTTCAAAACTAGGGAGGCCAAGCCCATGATGACACTCTTCAGGTCACTTGTTCTATCTAGGCTGGAATATTGCTGCACTCTAACAGCACCTTTCAAGGCAGGTGAAATTGCCGACCTAGAAAATGTACAGAGAACTATTCACGGCGCGCATAACGGAGAATAAAACACCTCAATTACTGGGAGTGCTTGAGGTTTCTAAACCTGTATTCCCTGGAATGCAGGAGGAGAGATACATGATTATATACACCTGGAAAATCCTAGAGGACTAGTACCGAACTTGCACACGAAAATCACTCACTACGAAAGCAAAAGACTTGGCAGACGATGCACCATCCCCCCAATGAAAAGCAGGGTGTCACTAGCACGTTAAGAGACCATACAATAAGTGTCAGGGGGCCCGAGACTGTTCAACTGCCTCCCAGCACACATAAGGGGGATTACCAACAGACCCCTGGCAGTCTTCAAGCTGGCACTGGACAAGCACCTAAAGTCAGTTCCTGATCAGCCGGGCTGTGGCTCGTATGTTGGTTTGCGTGCAGCCAGCAGCAACAGCCTGGTTGATCAGGCGCTGATCCACCAGGAGGCCTGGTCACAGACCGGGCCGCGGGGGCGTTGACCCCCGAAACTCTCTCCAGGTAAACTCCAGGTAAACTGCACAAAACATAAGGAAAAAAATTCCTTCCTGCAAGTGGAGGACTGAGTTTTGAGGCATACTGCTATCTCATGGTGGCATTCAGATACTTGTAGTATAGGATACAAAAAAGGTCTTGTCACTGATACCTCATGTCTGCTCCCACTTTTGCTAACATGTTGAAGAGCTTTCCAATGCATGAAGGTTGAGGGACAGTGCCAGTTGGACAGGTATTGGACAGTGACTTCATTTGTTTACTCTTGAACATTGCCAAAGAATTGAAAATTTCTGCTACTTTGAGCTCAGTTTAAAGGTACTTTTTGTGAAACCAATCAAAATCATACTGTAGTATCTTCCATTCTGTCAAATGAGACCAAAAAAAAAAAAAAACTAATAAAACCATAATAGCCATACGAAAATGTACTAAGGGGAGGCTAACGGCTGAGAATTTAACTCCATTATGCCCAAATTTCAATAAGATAGTCCGACAAACTGATATCCAATTTCCTAGATTGAGCCCCTTGCCAGCATCAAGGAACCGCCCTCGAGGCCCACCTGCGCCTGGAAATTTCGCTCTCGTCTGGAAGCAAAAAATTAAGATGCCTCGTATCTGGGAAAAACTCGCATAGATGCACTCTCACGTAGAGGTTCCACTGTATTCTGCTCACTTTTCAGACTACCAGTCTGAATGCCTGAAGCTCATTTCTAGGCAGGATAAGACTTTGGTGTGGCAATGCCTGTTGATCTGACAGTATTTAGCTGCATAGGTTGCATGACCTTGCTGTGAAGTAATTTTATAAACTGAATACATAACTAGTGAATATCATTTATAGTACTTTTAAAATTAAGACTAGCAAATGCATAACTGTCTAGATTTTACCAGTTTTATTTACTGTACTAGTTTCCTGCACTACACAAAATCTAGGCTTTTGTAGCCAGGAATAGGCATTGGGAGAAGTGCAAGAACCTGGAGTTGCACGTTCCCTAAATTACATTAAATGTATTGCAAGCTCTTGTAACAAACATTTGCCACGTTTTGAAAATGTGGGTGCCACCCTTTCCTAAGTCAGACTACAACAATGCATCTACCTCATCCGCTAGGAAATCAAATCGCTCGTGCTCTCTAGGCTGGAATACTGTTGTACACTAACGGCCCCCTTCAATGCGGGCGACATTGCAGACCTGGAATGTACAAAACTTTCACAGCACACAAGTATGATAAGGCACCTAAACTACTGGGAACGGTTGATGGTCCTTGATCTTTCTCTCAAATGCAGGCGAGATATGCATGATAATATACACTTGGGAGGTTCTGGAGGGATTGGCACCAAAGTGCACACGAATCACTCCCTATGAATGCAAAAGACTCTGCAGGAGATGCAAAATTTCCCTGATGAAAAGCAGAGGTGCCACAAGTACATAGAGAACACAATAATTGTCCTAGACACAAGATTGTTCAGTTGCCTCCCAGCATACATAAGGGGGATTACCAATAGACCCCTGGCTGTCTTCAAGAAGGTACTGGACAGGCACCTGAAGTCAGTACCTGACCAACCAGGCTGTGGTTTGTACATCACCTTGCATGCAGCCAGCAGTAACAGCCTGGTTAATCAGACCCTGATCCACCATGAGGCCTGGTCTCAGACTGGGCTGTAGGGGCATTGACCCCTGAAACCCTCTCCAGGTAGACTAGACTTCAGATCTTATGGTTAAAATTTCTATCCCTGTCTAACACTGTTGCAAGCAGCTTTGGAGTTAGTTTCCTGTTCCAAATTTCCTTGCATAACCCCCCCCCCTTCCCCTTGCTACCTTTCCTTCTCTCAACCTTCAGATTTACACATCTTCCTGTCCTATTTTATTCCATCCACTTGAGGTCCAGACCACCTCAGCCCTCAGGAGTAAGTTTGGTAACCCCTTCCCACCTAATTTCCAGCCTCCTTAACCCTTTCAGGGTCCGTCCCGTAGATCTACGGCTTTGCGTTCAGTATCCAAACCGTAGATCTACGTCATGAGCTCAGCTCACTGATAAACTGAGTGGTACACTTGGGCCTAGATATGAGAATACGTCTGTGGTATGTGTGCACCACATAAAACAAATCCTGCAGCACACTGTGTATAATGAGAAAAAAAACTGAAACAAAGATTTTCGATTAAAACAGCAACTTTGCAGTGTTTTTTTGTATTTTTTATAGTTGTATTTGCAATTTCTTGGTCTCATTTGATAGAATGGAAGACATATTACAGAAAGAGATGATTTTGATTGGTTTTAGCACCAGAAATGGCTTGAAACTGAGCTCAAAGTAGCGGAAATGTTAAATTTTTGTCGATGTTCAAGAGTAAACAAACGACCTCACACTTCTAATACACGCCAGCTGGTGAATCTAATACACATTCACAAATGTGGTGATATTTATATAATTATTACAATATTGCATAACAGTAAATCTTCTATTTTTTGGTGTGAATAAAAATTCATTGTGAATAAAAAATAAAAATGGGATTTATTTGTAATGCCTCAAAACGTAACTAATGAACCGAGGAAATGTTAGTTTAGTACCAGGAATGCCTACATTGTTCTGGATGCTATTTTGAAATTGGAATATTTTGAACTTTGTGTTAAATTGGCCAAATTACCAATTTCCGATCACTTTATTTTGTAGTTGAAACAGTTGACTTGGTGATTTTTTGTGCTCAATCGATAGAATAGAAGTAATACTAGTAAAATAGCCAAGAATTTGGTCGACTGGAATGATGTAATTGGCCTAAAATGGAAGTCAGTCGGCAAAATTGCCGATTCGTAAATATCGCTGACACATCAAAATTCGCGAGAGCATAATTTCGTCAATTTTCCATCAAATGTCGTACTTTTTGTTTTATTACCTTCGCAAAAAGAAATTCTCTACCATTTCATAAGAAAAAAATTTTTTTTGGGAAAATTCTTGGACACTGGGGCACCACTTCAGATTTGGGCCTTGGACCCTGAAAGGGTTAATGTATTTTACACCCATAATTTGTTGGTATAGTTCTAATAGTTTTTAAAGAGGATGTACCAACAAGCTAGTGAAAGACCTTGGTCAAATGACAAGTGCCAATGGAGAATAATCATGTGATGACCCACATCAGGAAATGCTTGTCCTGTTTCCTTACTAACCTTGCACAACTGTGCTGGCACATTCCTCTTTAAAACAATGGATAGTTCTTCACAAATGCCTCTATTACTTGCCCATTTTTTTCTTGTCTAATTTTTCATAAACCAAATAAAAGTTCACTTCCAAATATTGACCCATTCACTGCCATACTCCTACCAATCTGATATCCAGTCTTTTGTTGCTTAGATTCTCATAACCTTCTGATTTCCTGTTTAATTTCCTCTTATACAAATTCACTTAAATTTCTTAGTAGCATCCTTTCACTTCCAAAAGTCATTGGCAAAAGCAGGTAACTTCACTGTATTGCAAGTTGTCCCCTCTACAAATACCAGTGTTGGCATTTACCCAAAATGTTAAACCATGGTAACATCAGTTTAAGGCTTACTTTTTACTGAAAAAATCCCTTGTGTGTATTTTAACATTAGCATTACTATCCACGTTTTACTTTTAGTAACCTCCTACCCATTTCATACTTAAAACATCATGGATTGCTTTTATCCCCCCTCCCCCTCCCCATGTACTGTTTCATAATTTCAGAAATGTAAAGTACCTCTTAAGTATTGTTTACTTGTATTCTTTGATGTAAATTCTTGGTTTCAACATCTCCTATCCTTCCTAAAACAACCATGTTGCCTTAATATCCTTTCTTATCAATTGTTTTTCACACCTAAACATTTTATGCAGTACGGTAGGGCCCCGCTTTACGGTGTTCCGCTAATTAGGTCATTTCAAATTGACCAAAACTCTCTACGGCTCCCCCACCTGACTTTCTAATACGGTCACTGTGCCCCACCCGGTTTGTTTACATTGTGAGATCTGTAAGCAGTCTCCATTATGTCTGGAAACTCCAAAATTTAAACTGTTTAAAGGTTTTCATATTTTATATATACTCTGATAATTATACTTTTGTATACATGTACCTAAATACTTAGTGCTGGCATGCAGGTACATATTAAAATCAGTCTCGTCTTGAGACACCATATTAATGATAATCAGTCTCATTAAATGTCTTGTATTACATTAATACAAATTTTCATTAATCCATCTATATTTTTCAAAATTATATAATAAACACGATACACAACATAAAGATGATAAATACACCCCACAGTAGAATAAACATAAGTATGTGGTAGCCAGACTTCTACGAGTGATGGCAAGAATAACATTTTCTCGTGTCCAACATGAGAAAATGTTACTGGGGTAACTGTAGAAAATTTTTCTTTTCGAAGGTAAAAGTTTATTCAGGTATACAGTTATATACATTCTTGCATAACAGCATGTGTAAAGTACCTAGGATAACCCAAAAGTCAGTGACTTGTTTCCATTGCCTTCAGAGCATCATTTCTTCTAAAAACGGTGTTACTCAAGAATGGGAGTGGTGGTCTTTATTCTACTGTATCAATGTAGATAACTTGTACACGAACCAGACATGTACACTGTTTACAAAACTTGTGTTCGGCTGGTTTGTTTACATAACTCAGCCTGTCCTCTAGTGTACTCACTTTTTCTCATTTACTCACCCCTGACCCTACATTAACTACATATATTTTAAGGTAAGTAATGAGTGAACTGTATATGCATTTTATTTGGGATGCTTAAATGTAATAGAATATTGTGTAGGTGGGGTGGCCTGGCCTGGCCTGGTATGGTAGCCCGGCTGACTACCATACATACCACACTTGATTTGATTTCTTAAAATAAATACTACTTGTCTCGCCCTAGATTAAGACTACAAATATTTTAAGGTAAGTAATGAGTGCACTGTGTGTTTTACTTTTCTATTGTTTTTTAATGCCTAGTTCTATTACTAGTTAGTGTAAACATATCTAGTATTTGTATGCATTTACAAGGGGGGGGAAGGGTGTTCCACTTTACGGCGCTTTCCGCTTTACAGCGGTAGCCTGGAACCTAACCTGCCGTGTAAGTGGGGCCTTTCTGTATACGTGTTGATAGTTTGTGTGGTAAAAGTAAACTAAATTGCTGGGAGCAATATAGCTTAATAAAATAACCTTTTAAATTAGGATTTGGGGAAACTGCTTAGCTGGACTCAAGTTCTGGAGGTGGAAAATAGTGCCTTCACTTGCCAAGAGTTTCACTCAGTGGCATCTGAACTGTTGTACTGTATCTGCATGCCTCTGCAAAGACAATCATGTGTGAATGATGGTGGTTTCTTTTGGGTCACCTTGGCTCAGGAGACTGCCAATGTGTTGAAATTGATAATTTAATCCTCAATAATTTTATCCCCTCTCCCTCCCCAACTACTCTATATTAAGAGTTAATGAAAAGTCCTTAAAATTTAAATACATTTTCCAGATATTCTTGAGAGAGCTCATCAGCAATGCATCAGATGCACTGGACAAAATTCGACTACTTTCCTTGACTGAAAAAGAACAGCTTGATACGAACTCTGAGCTTGTAATAAGAATAAAAGCTGACAAGGTGAGTACCCTGATTACCAAGTACCGTGATTACCAAGTACAGTGGAGCCCCAAGTTTTGGCCGTAATCCATTCCAGGAGCTAGGCCTAAACTCAATGGCCAAAAGCAGTGATATTTCCCATAAGAATGTATGTACAATTAGTCAATCCAGACTTGCAAATATTTGCCAAAAAAAAAAAAAAAAAAAAAAAAAAAAAAAAAAAAAAAAATTAAAGAATAACTTCAGTTTTACATACAACAGATAATGTACATAAATTAGTACTACAATAGATAAATTAAAACTTAAATAAACATTTAAAATAACATTTATTTTGAGACTTGCTGGCATCTGGAAGATGGGGAATTGGAGAATGTTCAGCTGGCTGGCAGGATGAGCATGCATGGTATTCACTAGAGGACAAACACTAGACTGGCTCACAACTCCTGCACAGGGAGGCGCGCGTACAGGTCTGGTACGCGGCCAAAACCCAGGAAAAAATTTGGCAAAAAAAAAAAGCGGTTATAACTCAGGGCGGCCGAAACTTGGGGTTCCACTGTATTGTGCTAATTGTTACTATAAAAGTATTAAAGCAGAAATTTTAAAATATTTCTTATTTCAGGACAACCATATCCTCCACATCACTGACACTGGCATTGGAATGACCAGAAGTGATCTTGTCAACAACTTGGGCACAATTGCTAAATCAGGCACGTCGGAGTTTTTCTCGAAGCTTCAGGAATCGGAGAGTGCTGATCAGGTAAAATATTTTCAGAATTGTGTAATTTTAGTTATATTGGATTCTTAACCCTTTCAGGGTTTCGGCCGTAGTAGTACGGCTTGTGCGCCAGGGTTCTTGATGTGCTAGTATGCCTAAATTCTAGCGCCTTCAAATCTAGCGAGAGAAAGCTGGTAGGCCTGTATATGAAAGAATGGGTCTGTGGTCAGTGTGCTCAGTGAAAAAAATCCTGCAGCACAGTGCGTAATGAGAGGAAACTGTTTTTGGGATTAAAACAGCGACTTTGCACTGTATTTTCGTATGGTATTTATTGATGTATTAGTTTTCCTGGTCTCATTTTATAGAATGGAAGACATGTTACAGAAATTGAGATTTTGACTGGTTTTACAATGAAAAGTACCTAAAAAATGAGCTCAAAGTAGCAGAAATGTTAGATTTTTACCAAAGTTCAAAAGTAAAAAAAATCATGCTAAGCTTCCAATACACGTCAACTTTGAGTCGAATATTCTTTCATAAGTGCACCGATTATTTATACCATTTCTACACTAATGCAGTAGTATGCATAACAGTAAATCTTGAATTTTTTTGTGTGAGAATAAAAATTCAAAGTGGAAAGCAAAAGAATGCAAGAGGGGCCTGGGGACATGACTAATGAACAGAGGAAATGTTATTTTAGTGCCAGGAATGTCTTGTTTATTCTGGACCCTGTTTAGAAATTGGCATTTGAAATTTGTGTGAAATTGGCAAAATTGCTAAATTCTGACCTCTGTATTGGATAGTTGAAATCGGTAAATGGGTGGTTTCTTGTACTCATTCGATAGAAAAAAAAAATGGAGTTCTAGCGAAAGTTATTTTTGTCAACTAGTACACTGGAATTGGCCGAAAATAAGGCTCAAGGTGGGCAAAATTGCAGATGTGTAAACATCGTTAAGACCGCTAACTTCGCAAGAGCGTAATTCAGTAAGTTTTCCATCAAATTTCATACTTTTGGTGTCATTATGATCAGGAAAAAGATTTTTTATAAGAAAAAATTTTTTAAGTTTGGGGGACCCTGAGAAAGTATGAGAGCCTGTGGACCCTGAAAGGGTTAGTTACATTATACTGAGTTTAAATGTTACTTTCAGGCTAGTGACTTGATTGGGCAGTTTGGAGTTGGTTTCTACTCGGCTTTCCTCGTTGCTGATCGTGTAGTTGTAACCAGTAAACACAACACTGACCAACAACAAATATGGGAATCTGATTCTGCAGCTTTCTCAGTTGTTGAAGACCCCAGAGGGGACACACTGAAGAGAGGTAAGATCTTTATAACGGGGCATCTCCAAGTCTGTGCCTAGTGCAAGTCAGCCATCACTAATCAGTAATCTAGTACTAAATTTTGGCTAGCATTTTCACATTTCAGGGATGCCACACCAACCTGCAGCTACTGTTTGGTTGCACTACTTGCTGCACAAGTCATTCCAATTTTTCTCCATTTGTTATAACCTGCTCACTTTTAGTGTTAGCCATTGTTCCAACAAATAGATGCTTCTCTTTTCGTAATGCGCGCGCACCATACGTTGTCCATAAAAGATAAGGTGGCTTTGAAGCCACTGTTGGTAGTCGTGAATTTGGGCCTACGTATGAGAATCGGTCTGGTAAGTGCACTACATAAAAATACTGCAGTATGCAGTGCCTGAGAAAAAAACTGCGGCAGTGTTTTTGGTGTAAAACTGCAACTTGTGTGTATTTTCATATGGTTTTTATGGTTGTATTCTCATTTTCTCAAATAGAATGGAAGATAGCTTGCAGAAATGATTGACTGGTTTCATGACTGAAAGTACCTTGAAATTGAACTCAATGTTGGATTTTTGCTGATGTTCAAGAGTAAACAAATGTTGCCATCCAGTGTCCAACTGGTCGGTCTAATACATGGTCACATGGGTTGACATTATATAATTATTAAAATAATGCAGTAGTCTGCATAACGTTTTTATTTTGTGTGAATAAAAATTCAAAAGTGTAATAATAAAGTAGTAGCCTGGAGATGACTAGTAAGTTATTTTAATGCCAGGGATGTCTGCATTTAGTTCTAGACCTTGTTATGAAATTGGCATCTCTTGAAATTTGTGAAGCTGGCCAAATTACTGATTTGACTACTTTATTGGGTACTTGACATTGGTCAATTGAGTTTTTTATTTGACAGAATAAATGAATACTAGTGTAATACCAAAGTTCTGGTAGACCAGAACAATGGAATGGGCAAAAAGTAGGGTGTAAAGTGGGTGAAATTGCTGATGCATAAATATTGCTGTTGGGTTAAGTGCATTCTAACATGACTACTCTGTAATCTGGCAGAATCACTAATATGGCACCCTACAGGTCCCGATGCGAGATTGATGGCAAACCTGCATCAAAATAAAGCTGCCCATAATTTTATAAAACTGGCCTGTGAAAGTCGGGGAACTTTAAACAGCAGAGTGGCTTGGGGACCCAGCAGGCAGCCACCCAGACTGGTTCTGAATGTAGAAATTTGAAAGTATTGGATAATTTTGTGTAATCTTGCCCAATCTTACCCTGATGTTGGGTTGCTCAGCCATGTTGGTGTTCCTAGACATCAGAGCATCTAGGACTGACTTTAAATCCTCTAAATTTGAGAACTGGTAATACCGTTCTTCCCATACTAAGTTTGCCTTGCTGAACTTAAGGTTATTGCCATTAATGGGATCTTCCCTTTCCTGTTTAGAATTTTAGGCTCATTCAAACTGGGATTGTGACAGTTTCCTTGACCCTTATACTTTGTGAAAGGAAAGTTCTTAAATACAATGGGTTTGCACATTGCTAAATAAGCACTTTGAATTCTACTTGCATTCTAGCTGGTCTTAATTTTAATGCAGTTTCCATGGTTTAGTTTATTCCACATTAACCTTTGTATGCCTGTTATTCTACTCCCCTTGAAATTTTAACATAACTGCATTTAAATTTAGCTTGTCTCCTATTAACTTTTTAGTTTTCAGTAGCAATTTTCAGACATTGTAAGAGTGAGTTTGGCCCTCTTATACAAATTTGATATTTTCAGTCTGGTTCTTTGACTTCAGGATTATTGTCCACCTTGTTTGCTTGACCTGTTCATTCTTCAGAATTAAAACTAGGTAAAGAATAAATACAAGAATACATTATTTCTAAAGTGCCCCTGTTTTCATTTTCTTGTGTACTTTAAATTCAGTTCAGTCTGCAGTGCTTGCTTATTACTTGGTTGTGAAATGTTTGACTTGTAAATATTGTAGCCACCATAAAGCTAAATGACAAATTATAACCCTTTGTCAATATTGGCCGAGTTTGTGGTTGTCTGAAGTGCTGGGTAAGAGCTTAGTGACTAAATTAAATCTTTCCAAATTGTCCTCGAGTAAGTTGTGCATGGCTTTGGGTAAATCTCCATGCAAGAACCTATTAAATCTGTTTTGACTACTTTGTGGCTGCATGTTTGAATTTACCAATATTTTTCTAATACAGCCAGGAAGGCCATTCAGAAAATTGTAATCACTGGTTCTTAAGTGTACATACATTAATTATAAGTTTTTGTTATCTTTAAAATATTGAAATTACTTGACAGGTACAACAGTTTCTTTGCATTTGAAGGAAGAAGCCTATGACTTTGTTGAGGTAGATACTGTGAAGAACTTGGTAAAGAAATATTCACAGTTCATAAATTTTCCTATCTACTTGTGGGACTCAAAAACTGAAGAGGTTGAAGAGCCTCTTGATGAAGATGAGGCAGAACCAGAAGAGGATAAGGTATTTAGTTATAAATGTATGAAAGTTACTGATGTAAATAGTTTAGAAAGCTGAAAAGTTGAACTTGTGTAACACATTTAGAATCTTGTAAACATTTTTGCCAGCTAGTGTAAAGAGAAGTAGCTAATCAGTCCTTCAGCCTGGAATAAGTGTTCAGCTCATCAGTGTTGAAAAGTACAGCACATACACAGAAGTGGTTTATGATGTAGGAAGTTGAAGCAGCAACTCCTGTCTGCTGAATATAAGCCACTTTTGTGCATATGCTGTACTTTTCTAGTGATGGACAGAACACTTCCTCCAGGCAAAGGGACTGATTCTCTTCTAGTCTCCTGTACAGAGTGAAGCCACTGACTGGCAAAATGTCTGTAATATTCCCAAATGTTGACACTCAATCTTTGTGTAGGCCTAATTAACTTTGTGTATAGGTTGAGGAGGATGATGAGGAAGGGAGAGTGGAGGAAGAGAAAGACAAACCAAAGACAAAGAAAGTATCTAAAACTACATGGGACTGGACCCTGCTTAATGATGCCAAGCCCATCTGGACAAGGAAGTAAGTTTAATATTTGGTTACTTTCTGGGTGATAGCAATAGAATGCTAAGAATCTAAAGACAAATTTTGAATTATCAGTTTAGGAACTTAATTATTTCTCAAGGTATGTCTGCAGTAGACTTTGAATGGTAATACAATAGTAATTATGAACTTTGATAATCCACCTACTAGACTAAATTTTTGCCACCCTACAAATCAGGGTGACCCAAAGAATATTTAACATTCAGTTCCAGAATTTCCAACATTAAATTACCCTTCTACTGCAACATCACTACTGCTCAGTTGAGGCACTGCCCTTCTGGCTAATTGTATTCCTTGAATAGTTTTTTCTTGCCCACATTTGACAGCACTTGCATTAGCAATTCCTTGTCTCCATTCACAACTCCAAAGCTTGCCAATGTTAACTCCTAAAATTCAAAGCCTCTTAACCCTTTGACTGTTTTGGTCGTATGTCTTGCAAGCCAACATTTTTGACGTATACTCATAAATTCTAGTGGCTTCAAATCGAGCAGAAGAAAGCTGGTAGGCCCACGTGTGGGAGAATAGGTCTGTGGTCAGTGTGCACCATATAAAAAAAAAATCCTGCAGCAGTGCATGGTTTGTTTTTAATTAAAATGCCGACTTTGTCTATTTTCGTATAGTATTTATGGTTGTACGTATTCTCGTTTTCCTGGTCTCATTTGATAGAATGGAAAACAGAAATAGAGGTGATTTTGATTGGTTTTACTATGAAAACCTTGAAATGGAGCTCAAAAAGGGAAATGCTTTACTTTTGCTGATGTTCAAAAAGTAAACAAAAGTAAATATCCAAGTAGCCATTCTAATATGCAGTCATGAGTGGGTTGACATTATAAAATTATTAAAATATTGCAGTAGTCTGCATAACAATTTTGAGAAAGAAATGGAAAATATGCCCACTCAGCACCTGGACCAGATTCATGGAATGCTCTATTTATAAAGTGCAAAGTACCACTAGCACGAGCCCTCAGTATTCTTTGGAGAAAGAGCTTAGATCTAAGTGAAATACCAGAGGCCTTAAAGAGTGCAGACATAGCTTCTTTGCACAAGGGAGGCAGTAGAGCACTAGCTAAAAATTAGACCAGTAGCCCTAACCTCTCGCATCATAAAAATCTTCGAAAGAGTGATGAGACGGCAGGTTACAAATTTCATGGGCCAGCACAACCAACATAACCTGAACCAGCATGGTTTTAAAGCAGGACGATCATGTCTGTCACAGCTGCTGAACCATTGACAGAATTAGAGCCACTGGAAGACGACCAAAACGCAGATGTGATTTACAGATTTTGCAAAGGCGTTTGACATATGCGATCATGGAGTGATGGTGCACAAAATGAAGGCCGTAGGCATTATGGGAAAGGTAGGCAGATGGATTTTTTCCTAAAACACAGAACACAATAGTAGTAGTGAACAGGGCAAGATCCAGCATCAGTGAGGTCAAAAGCTGTCCCAAGGCACTGTCCTGGCACCTCTGCTGTTCCTCATCCTCATAGCACAGACAAAAACACCCGGCACACTTTTGTATCATTTGCAGATGACTCAAAATAAGCATGAAAGTCAGTATGGAAGAGGACACTGAAAAAGTACAGGAAGACATGAACAGGGTTTTTCCAGTGGGCAGTGGAAAACATGACATTCAATGGTGATAAGTTCCAGCTGCTTAGGTATGGAAAGAATGAACTCAAAAGGAGCACTATATGCAAGAGGGTCACCAAATAGAACATAAGGAACACACAAAAGACCTAAGAATAATTGTCAGCAGACCTTTCTTTTAGATCATAAGATCAAGATCACGACAGCCAGGAAGATGACTGGGTGGGTATTGAGACTTTCAAAACAAGGGAAACGATGCCGATGGTGACTCTTCAAATCGCTAGTGCTCCCTCACTTGGAATATTGCTCAGTGCTGATGGCCCCGTTCAGGGCAGGAGAAATATTGGAGCTGGAACAGAGATCGTTTACGGCTCGCATTGAGCCAGTAAAGCACCTAAACTACTGGGAACGCCTGCAAGTCTTGAACATGTACTTATTGAAGAGGAGAGGTACATGATATATACCTGGAAGGTACTCGAGGGCTTGGTCCCAAATCTGCACATTGCCATAACATACTGGAGTAAGAGATATGGGAGGAAGTGTAAACCCAGTGAGGAGCAGGGGTGTGGTGGGGACAATAAGGGAACACTGTATCAACATCCAGGGTCCCAGACTTTTCAATATCTTTCCAGAAGATATCGAACACTGCTGGAACAAGTGTTGAAGCCTTCAAGAGGAAACTAGACCAGTATCTTCACCAGGTGCCAGATCAACCAGGCTGTGATGGCTGTGCCCTTGTGGCTTAGCGCTTCTTTTTGATTATAATAATAATAATAATGTGATGGCTGTGGGGCAGCAGGCCTCCAGCAGCAACAGCCTGGTTGACCAGACGAGCCTGGCCCATGGCTGGGCTCGGTAGATATACTCTCAAAATTCTTCAAAGGTAAAGGTATAAAAACAAAATGGAAAGAAAGTAATATCAGTGGGGCCTGGAGACACGACTGATGAACAGAGCCAGGAATGTCTGCATAGTTCATTCTGGACCCTATTTTGAAATTGTCCTTTTTTAATTTTCATGAAATTGGCCAAATTGCAAATTTCTGACCACTTTATTGGGTAGTTGAAGTTGGTAAATGGGCAGTTTCTTGTACTCAATTGATAGAAAAAAAAAATAGTTCTAAAGAAATAGCAGTTTGGCCAACTGGAACAATGGAATTAGCCGAAAATAGGGCTCAAAGTGGGCGAAATTGCAAATTCGTAAATATCGCAGAGGTCACTAACTTCGCGGGAATGTAATTCGTAGTTTTCCATCAGATTTCATTCTTTTGGTGTCATTACAATCTGGAAAAGATTCTTTCATTTCATAAAAATAATTTTTTAAATTGAGACATCAAGAGACCTCAGGATTTGGGGTTGTGACAGTCAAGGGGTTAATCTCCCTTCAAACAATTCCTAGTATGACCCCTTCTACTTTCCATACCAGGTTTTTACAGCCTATCGCCTACTTCCCACCTTTGAATGCCCAAACCCTTCTTGTTGACCCCCCCCTCCTCAGCCTTCTTGACTTGTACCCTTGATACCATATTGCCCTTTAATTTCTAAACTTAAGATTCTCTGCATAATAGCCTCGCCACACATTACTCGTACATGCATGCTTATAGCTGCATCATTGCTACAGTTATAAGCAGATACGTAGTTTGAGGCATTTTCCGATTAATTTTTAGCTACCTTGTATGATTTTAATACCACTATTATGGCACATTCCCCTATCTTAATTTTTCCATACTTTCACATCCACTTCCCCCCCATAGACAAGTTTACTGATGTGTAAACTCCAACACTTCCTCCAGTCATTGCCTAGACTTGGTTGCCCCTCATTACCTTTCTTTTCTTTTTAATTTTGTTATACATCCTTCTCAAATTCATGCACCAATCTTTGTATGAATTTGAGTATTGTACATACCTGTATTTGAAATTTCAGGCCTGCAGACATTGAAGATTCAGAGTACAATGAATTTTACAAGACACTCAGCAAAGATTCAAAGGACCCTCTGGCAAAGACCCACTTTATAGCTGAAGGAGAAGTTACCTTCAAGTCACTACTGTTTGTACCAGAAGTTCAACCTTCAGAGTCTTTCAACAAGTATGGTACACGAACAGATAACATAAAGCTTTATGTTCGAAGAGTGTTCATTACTGACGATTTTCAGGTTTGTAGTAGTTAATCTTTAATTGTAACAAAAGTGCTTGTTTTGATATTTTACTAATTTACTGTAATTTTATAATTTAGTGTAATTTTTTAATAGGTAGTAGGTTGGTAGACAGCAACCACCCAGGGAGGTACTACCGTCCTGCCAAGTGAGTGTAAAACGAAAGCCTGTAATTGTTTTACATGATGGTAGGATTGCTGATGTCTTTTGTCTCTCATAAATATGCAAGATTACATGTATGTCTTGCTACTTCTACTTAGGTCACACTACACATACATGTACACATTTATACACACTCAGCCGAGTTTTCTTTGATTTTATCTCAATAGTTCTTGGTCTTATTACTTTTCCTTTTATATCCATGGGGAAGTGGAATAAGAATCTTTCCTCCGTAAGCCATGCGTGTTGTAAAAGTCAACTAAAATACCAGGAACAATGGGCTAGTAACCCTTTTTCCTCTAAAGATTACTAAAAAGAATAGGAAAATTGTCAGTGGGAAGTCTGAATGTGCGTGGATGTTGTGCAAATGATAAGAGATGATTGTGGATGTTACATAGAAGGGATGGTCTAGGCTTTAAGTGTAAACAAGCTGAAGGTGGTGGAGTTGTCATGGAGGAGGAATTAATGGATATTAGTCAGGGTTCAATAGTTAAGCAAGGGTAGCAATAATGTTGGGAAAGATAAGCTATGGCAGAAAAGAGGGACTATAAATGTATTAATTCAAGGATTATGGAGTAAAATAAAGATTGGATGTGAAAAGTGGGTTATAATAAGATGTGTATGTACCTGGAGAAGAGAGAAGTGTAGAGGGGGAGGGAGATTTTGGGAAATGTTGAGTGAATGCGTGGGGAGTTTTGAATCAAGTGAGGAATGGTGGTTGGGGATTTCAATGCTAAAGTGGGTAAAAATGTTAGAGGGAGTAGTAGGTAAATTTGGGGTGCCAGGGGTAAATGTAAATGGGGAGCCTTTAATTGAGCTGTGTAGAAAGAGATTTGATAATAAGTAATACATATTTTATGAAAAAGGGGATAAATATACAAGGTATGATGTAGCACGTAATGAAAGTTATTTAGATTATGTATTGGTGGATAAAAGGTTGATGGGTAGGCTCCAGGATGTACATGTTTATAGAGGGGCAACTGATATATTGGATCATTTAGTTGTAGCTACAGTTAGAGTAAGAGGTAGATGGGAAAAGAGGAAGGTGGCAACAAGAAGTAAGAGGGAGGATTGAAATGGTATAAACTAAGGGAGGAACATTCGGGGGGTGAAGAATATAAAGCGATAATTGGCAGAAAGGAAAGGTGGGGCTAGTGCAAAGATTAGTGGGAGGGTTGAAGAGGGTTGTGGAATAGGTTTTAAAATGCAGTATTAGAATGTGGGGCAGAAGTTTGTGGTTATAGGAGGGTGGGAGCAGGAGGAAAGAAGAGATTGGTAGAATGATGAAGTAAAGGGTGTGATAAGAGGAAAAGGTAGCTTAAGAGATGTTTTTACAAAAGTGTTATAAGAAGAGCAGAGTATATGGAGAGTAAAAGAAAGGTAGTGGTGAGAATGCGAAAGGAGAGCAGATGATAGTGGGAGAGGCACTGTCAAGAAATTTTAATGAAAATAAAAACTTTTGGAGTTAAAAAAGTTAAAGCCTAGGGAAAGTATGGATTTCAGTTAAAAAACAGTAGGGGAGTTAGTAGATGGGGGAGATGGAGGTATTATGTAGATGGCGAGAATATTTTGAGGAACTTTCAAATGTTAAGGAAGAAAGAGGCAGTAATTTCATGCACTGGTCAGGGAGGTATACCATCTTTTAGGAGTGAACAAGAGCAGAATGTAAGTGTGGGGGAGGTACATGAGGCATTACGTAGAATGAAAGGGGGTAAAGCAGCTGGAACTGATGGGATCATGACAAATGTTAAAAGCAGGGGGGGGATAGTGTTGGAGTGGTTGGTACTTTTGTTTAATAAATGTATGAAAGAGGGGAAGGTACCTAGGGATTGGCAGAGCAAGTATAGTCCCTTTATATAAAGGGAAAGGGGACAAAAGACTAAAAATTAGAGGAACAAGTTTACTGAGTATACCAGGAAAAGTGTACAGTAGGGTTATAATTGAAAGAATTAGAGGCAAGACAGAATGTAGGATTGCGGATGAGCAGGGAGGCTTCAGAGTGGGTAAGGGATGTGTAGATAGTGTTTACATTGAAGCATATATGTGAACAGTATTTAGATAAAGGTAGGGAAGTTTTTATTGCATTTATGGATTTAGAAAAGGCATATGATAGTGGATAGAGGAGCAATGTGGCAGTTGTTGCAAGTATATGGAATATGTGGTAAGTTATTAAATGCTGTAAAGAGTTTTTATTAGAATAGTGAGGCTCAGGTTAGGGTGTGTAGAAGAGAGGGAGACTACTTCCCGGTAAAAGTAGGTCTTAGACAGGGATGTGTAATGTCACCATGGTTGTTTAATACGTATATTTATAGATGGGGTTGTAAAGGAAGTAAATGCTAGGGTGTTCGGGAGAGGGGTGGGATTAAATTTTGGGGAATCGAATTCAAAATGGGAATTGAGTTACTTTTTGCTGATACTGTGCTTATGTGTAAAGGTAGAAAGTTGAAAGTGAACATAGAAAAGAGTAAGGTGATGAGGGTATCAAATGATTTACGTAAAGAAAAATTGGATATCAAATTGGGGAGGAGTATGGAAGAAGTGAATGTTTTCAGATACTTGGGAGTTGACGTGTCGGCATTTGGATTTATGAAGGATGAGGTTCATCATAGAATTGATGAGGGGGGAAAAAAGGTGAGTGGTGCGTTGAGGTACATGTGGAGTCAAAAAACGTTATCTATGGAGGCAAAGAAGGGAATGTATGAAAGTATAGTAGTACCAACACTCTTGTATGGGTGTGAAGCTTGGGTGGTAAATGCAGCAGCAGCGAGGAGACGGTTGGAGGCAGTGGAGATGTCCTGTTTAAGGGCAATGTGTGGTGTAAATATTGTGCAGAAAATTCGGAGTGTGGAAATTAGGAAAAGGTGTGGAGTTAATAAAAGTATTAGTCAGAGGGCAGAAGAAGGGTCGAGGTGGTTTGGTCATTTAGAGAGAATGGATAAAAGTAGAATGACATGAAAAGCGCATAAATCTATAGGGGATAGGAAGGCTGGGTAGGGGTCGTCCTCGAAAGGGTTGGAGAGGGGGGTAAGAAGTTTTGTGGGCAAGGGGCTTGGACTTCCAGCAAGCGTGCGCGAGTGTGTTAGATAGGAGTAAATGGAGACGAATGGTACTTTGGACCTGACGATCTGTTGGAGTGTGAGCAGGGTAATATTTAGTGAAGGGATTCAGGGAAACCGGTTGTTTTCGTATAGTCTGACTAGAGTCCTGGAAATGGGAAGTACAATGCCTGCACTTTTTAAAGGAGGGGTTTGGGATATTGGCAGTTTGGAGGGATTTGTGTATCTTTGTGTATACTTCTAAACTGTTGTATTCTGAGCACCTCTGCAAAAAGTGATGCGAGTGTAGTGAAAGTGTTGAATGATGAAAGTATTTTCTTTTTGGGATTTTTTCTTTTGGGTCACCCTGCCTCGGTGGGAGACGGCCGACTTGTTGAAAAAAGTTACTTTAGGTATTGTAAAATTTTTTTCATGAACTTTGTATATCTAAAGTTCAATCCTTGTGTGGCCTGGGCCAAGAATCCGTTAGTGTGCTGGAGCAAAGGTTGACAGGTCCCACATAGGTAATTTTCAGGCCTTGTGGACCCTGAAGTAGATCAGTAAGCTATACAGTTCTGCAACTGGATTGTAGATGAATGGTTCAAAGAAACACATTGTTAAATTACACATGTGCAACTCTTGGGTGTCTTTATTGAGGAAACGTTTTGCCACAGTGGCTTAATCAGTCCATACAAAGGATAAACTTGAACAGGAGGAAGAGGTAATCAGTCCCTCAACCTTGAGTCGATGTGGTCAGTCCATCAGCCTTGAATAGAATACGGCATATGAGCGGAGAAGCAGCTTATAAACCGTATGGCTGGAGAGGTGCAGCAGTCGTAGGTGGCATCACATTTGTCCAATGGTTCTTTGAACCATTCATCTACAATCTTGTCAGACACTGCAACTTCTTGGGATCTTAATACTTGGGAATTCTTCACTTGCCTAAATCTTGGGCACGATCTACTTCTACATTGGACAAATGTGACGCCACCTACGACTGCTGCATCTGTCCTGCCATACGGTTTATAAGCTGCTTCTCCGCTCATATGCCGTATTCTATTCAAGATTGATGGACTGACCACATACTCGAGGTTGAGGGACTGATTACCTCCTCCTCCTCCTCCTCCCTCCTCCTGTTCAAGTTTATCCTTTGTATGGACTGATGAAGCCACTGTGTGGCAAAATGTTTCCTCAATAAAGATACCCAAGAGTTGCACATGTCTAACTTAACAATTTTGCAACCATTTGGTTAGACCTTCATTGTTTGCCACTGCAGACTCGTTGATGCAGTAGTGTTAGTTGTTTACTCTGTACTTTTATCACTAGTTTGGTCTAGCTTTGGTTTAAATGTGTGGTTTACAGGGCTGAGTTGAAGGATATTTTGATATACTTACTCTGCTAATTGTAGACTTGATAATTGTATGATCATGGGAAACAGCTTTAGGAACATTGATGCCACAGATAAATCACAACTGATATAATTTTTCTGGTTTAATTTTATTAACACTGGCAAATTCCCACAAAGGCAGGGTGGCCGAAAAACTTTCACCATCATTCACTCCATCACTCTTGCCAGAAGGGTGCTTTACACTACAGTTTTTAAACAGTTTTTAAACTGCAACATTAACACCCCTCCAGAGTGCAGGCACTGTACTTCCCATCTCCAGGACTAAAGTCCGGCCTGCCAGTTTACCTGAATCCCTTCATAAATGTTACTTGCTCACTCCAACAGCATGTCAAGTATTAAAAACCATTTGTCTCCATTCACTCCTATCAAACATGCTCACGCATGCCCGCTGGAAGTCCAACCCCCCTCGCACAAAAAAAACCTTTACTCCCTCCCTCCCAACCTTTCCTAGGCCGACCCCTACCCCACCTTCCTTCCACTACAGATTGATAGTCTTGAAGTCATTCTGTTTCGCTCCATTCTCTCCATTTTCTGGTTCTGCATACTAAATTTCCAGGAATGTAGTTATTAGTCTGCAATATTAGTAAAAGGATTTAAGCTCTGAACCATTTCATATCTTAGGATAGTTTATTTGTGTATGGTGATTCACCTTCTTCCCATGAAAGGACTTGTCTATATAAAAATGAAATGCTCTACTGTCCAATGTAATTTTAATGTTGCCCCCATGATTTTCCTTGGCAACCCTTCATAAAGAATACCTTGCTCAGTCAAGCCACAAGACATGGTTATACTTAAACATTTACACAGAGGTTCCTTGACAGCTATGAGGGGCTCTTTGGTAACTCCCCTTGGGTCAGACATGAATGCCTCCCAAACCACTTGCAGCTAGCAAGTCTTAAAACTCTACCAATGAATTAGCCACTGGGCCAGCTGGCTACAAAAAGATTTGTCCAACTAGATATATTTATACATCATAGGCCCCTCAAGGAAGGTTCCTTGATGTTGGTGAGGGGCTTTTGATTTAGGGAATTGGATCTGTGCTCCAGTTCCCCGAATTAAGCCTGAATACCTTCCACATCCCCCCCCAGGCGCTGTATAATCCTCCGGGTTTAGCGCTTCCCCCTTGATTATAATATACATCATAGGAAGGTTAACATAGGCATCACTGACCACATACATTTGTGGTTACAATCCCCACCTGTATGGTGGCTTCTTTGCAATAGTGTCATTACTATTTTGTGAATTGTGAATGCCTTGCATATAGTATTCCTGCTTGATACTAAAGACCCCACCCAAACACCCCTTGATAGGTTCCTTGAAGGATGCATGATCAAAGGAATTGTACTTCCTCTTAGAGTTTCCCCCAATTCCCCAGGTGCTGCATGATTAGTGCTCCTTTAATGACTAGTAATAAAACGTCACTCACTCCTTTCATCCTCAGATTTCCTGATATTACTTCCCTCACCACTGTCCTACTGTACTTACACATATTCTGCTGTTCCTTAAGTGTCCAAAGCTCCCCACCCCTTCCCTGCATCCTTCCTCTTGAATTCACTTCCATAATACCAGTCCTAATTTTTAGATTCTAAAGTCGGTTAAATTCAGACTGCCTTGTTCTCAAACCTTCTTTCCTCTTCACTGCAGCATTTGAAAGCCACTGCCCCTCCTTCATCCTGCATTAAACATTTGTAACTCCTTCAATCTCCCATCAAGGTAGGGTGGCCTGCCTTGGTGGGAGATGGTCAGTGGTGTCCTTTTACTTAACAGAAAAAACAAGCTTTTCTTTTTACATTTACTAATTCATACAGGAGGGGTTAGTATATTTCTACCTGGAATTAGTAGAACTTGGTTTTGTATAGCATTGTAATATATTGGTGAAGGGCTTAAATATGTACCTTAATCTGCAAATTATTTGGATTTTATTTTAATTGAAACATTCAAATGCAGGAGATTGCAGTACTTTCAAAATTTTATGTATTATAGCTGTAATGGCAATTTGGCTAAAGTTGAATTTGTTTTAGGATATGATGCCAAATTACCTGAACTTCATTAGAGGGGTGGTAGATTCTGACGACTTGCCTCTGAACGTTTCTCGTGAAAATCTTCAACAACACAAACTGTTAAAGGTCATAAAGAAGAAACTGGTACGCAAGACTCTAGATATGATTAAAAAAATGGAACCAGAAGAATATGAAAAATTCTGGAAAGAATACTCTACAAAGTAAGTACACATTTTGATGTACAGTTCAAAAATTTAAGCTACCATTTACTCTAGACCCTTACTTGCCCTTTGAGGTTTATAGTGCTTCATGCACTAGCCATGTCTATGAAAGTTCTGTAGGTGGGTTTACATAACTTTTGGGATAGGTCATTTAACTTTACTCTTTACAACTTTATTTTCCAAATTACCTTGTAGCATCTGGTGTTGCTGAAACTTAAACTCAGCCTTTGTTAATTGCCTCAATCTCTTAATGAATATTTACCTTTTCAACCTTATTGGGTCTGAATATTCTAGTGTAATCAAAATATGGACTCTGCTGCTAAATTGAAATTTGAGGCTTAAATGTATAGAATTCTGATTTAACAGCACATAAGTTTTTTTAGATATCAGTTAGTGTGCAATAAACAAGGTAGGAATGCAGAGGAACATGGAGGATACAG